CATGCACGAAAATAATTTAAATGTGCAGATACTTCAGATATATCAGATTTTAAGTCAACATATTCTAAATGATTTAAATTCTAAAGTAATAGTCAATGTCATTAAAATTATATGTTTTTTTAATAGAAAAAAAAGGGTATGGGCAATGATGAATACATTTTTAGTTTACATTTAGTACCATAAGAATAATTTTTACTGAAAACCTTTTTGTGTTTATTTATGATTAACGATTGGCATCGCGTTGAGGTTCGTTTCTGAGCATCCAAATATTTTGGGTTCAACGGATCTCTAAAATATATCTTTCATAAGAGGAAAATTTAACATAATTTAAAAAACGTAAAATTTTTAATTTATTTTTAGATTGGTATCCTTCAATCCATTGGACTGTTTAAAAGTAAGTGACAAAAATATAGACATTTTATTCTTTTTTTTCATTTTATTTTGGAAACTTAGTTAAATTTGAAAATTTAAGTTTTAACCAATATTTTATCAAGAGGTTAAGAAAAGTGAAAAGGTTTTAGTTTTTATTTCGACAAGGCTCACATGATACTCATCACAGGGGCTTATGGCGTATTTTAAAGTGATCTTTCATTAATATGGTTAAATGTACAAATACTTTATATAGTAACAATCAGGGGCGCCTTCTCCCCTCCTCCCATCCAACCCCCTCTTCCTTCTCCCCTCCTCCCATCCAAACCCCCTCTTTCTTCTCCCCGTCCCCCTCCCAACCAACCCCCTCTTCCTTCTCCCCTCCTCTATTCTCACTCCCATCAGTTTGTGCAAAATTTGTTGAACTCTGAAGGTAAATAAAAGCTTGCTAAAAGTCAGGAAATATCAAGTTTTGATTAGGCCAATAAATCAAATAAGTTATTACCTTCAGAAACAAAGTTTGAAGTAAATTACTAAGCTTATTATCAAATTTAATTTTATAAAACTTAATTTTAAGAATTTTTGACCGGTTTTTAAATTAGAAATTCATTGAAAGGATCACAGATGAAAAGATCACAGATCAACTCAAACGAATCAGTCCTTGATTGAATAAAATAGCAGAAAGATATCTTTTTAGGTTGATGATAAGAAATTCTCAATTTCTCTAAATATGTACTTTGGAATGCGTTGGATAGAAAACAGACTCAATGTAGATGTAAGTCAAGGTCAAGTTCAAGGTCAAGGTTAAGTTTAAGGTCACGGTGAAGGTCAAAGTTGTCAAGGTCAAGGTCAAGGTCAAGGTCAAGGTCTAAGTCAATTTCAAGGTCAAGGTCAAGGTCAAGTTGAAGGTGAATGCCATGTTCAATGGCACGGTCAAGGTCAAGGTCAATTTCAAGGTCAATGTCGAGGTCAAGTTTAAAGTCAATGTCATGCGTAAGGTCAAGGTCAAGGTCAAGGTATAAAGCAACCACCCTCTAACATTGATTAAAAATTTTAAATCTTGGAGTTTAACTAACTTTGAAAATATCAAAATAAACCTTCAAATCTTGAACGTTGACCAATTAGAGGATAAAGAAAAGGCTGGAATTAATCTTCCCAGGGGGCGGGGGTAGAGAGAATGAGTTCAATCAAACAGTTCAAAGCTGGGGACTTTAAAATTGGATAACTTTAATCCCGGTTGCTTAGTCTTAATATCAAATGTCGACACTTTCACTTTCCTTTTTATCGCTTTATTCTTGCTTTATGTATAATCCTAACAGATTCCGACCAATGAGAATTCTCTCATTAAATGGCGGGGGAAAAATATAATTTTCCGGCTTTTGATTGGCTGTTTAGGATTCTGCATATACGCCACTCTTTTAGTTTATTTTTATACACTTTTCTGGATTTAAACTTAAGATTAAATTAATCTTGAAATTATTAAAAAAAGATCATTATTTCAGCTCTGAGCTTATTATTTTTTAGAATAGAAACACTCCAGCAAGTTGGCTTCCCTTAGATATTAACTTTATCAAAGAAACCTGGGTTCCGCACGTTTTTATTTACAGGTATAAATTTCAAGAAGAACAATTTTTTTCAAAACAATGTACTGCAATTTCTCAGTGGGATGAAAACAAACACATTTTTTTATATCTTGGAATTCTTGGAATGAGCTTTGCTTAAATTCTGAATAAAATTGTCAATAAGGGTCTAGGGTGGGGTGAAACTTTCGTCAAACAATTTTAAGTGGAACCAACCATATTTGAGCCGCGGCTTAAATTTAAGCTGCGGCTCAAATTCTTAAAATTCGGTCTTGGGTAAATTTATTTCCGTCATACTTGATACTAATGCATAAAATCAAAATTAAAGGAGCTACCAGGTCACAAAGTCATACCAGTAATGTAAAAGTGTATCTTGAGGCCGTTGGAAATACTTAAATGACAACCTCTTTATGACCCATTTAAACATCAATGATACGCATCATAAAAAACAGATTCTAGCTATTTCTCCATTGATTATATAAATATAATATTTATATATAATATGTAACACATAATAATAAGGATGTTAATATTAACTATTGTTGAAAGAAACAGTTGTTAATTAGTTTTATTGCACAATTAATCAATATATAAGATGTTATTTGTCATAAAACAAGAAATAAATAAATAGAAATTATGATACTTTTGACAAGCTTAAGGGAACAGGATATAAGAGTTAAATTAACCTGACATGAAGGCAAAGAATAGAAAGGTATTGTTTCTTTTACTTATCTATATGTTGTCAAAACCACGTATAATTTAGATCAACAGTTTTTTCTTACGGAACATTATGATGCCATGGTAATAAACAAAGAAATGACATTGTTTACATTAGAAACAGACAAAAGTAATAGCCCTTACACTTGGTTNGGAATACACTTCTATACAACTTTTAGCACGAAACTATCCATCGGACAGGGACCATTCATTTATAGCGTAGCATATCAGATTCACAACAGTACACTTACAATCACAGTGCAATCTCAGTTTTCTAACCAGCTGTATTATATATATATATAGAGATTAGCTGGTCTATGGATAGTGGAAGGAAAGGAACTATTCTACAACCAGCTAGCTCATGTTACCATCATGTGCCCCATGAGGTTCAATAAATTCCCTCTGGACAGGTGATTATTAATAAAACAAAAAATGTTTGCAGGGACTCTAGGAACTTTTTTTAAGTAATCCTCAAATATGTCATGTATTCTTTTATTTTGATGTTATAAGTACTATCCCAAAGACGTTTTCCCAAGCGACAACTTCCCAAGGGTAGTTTCCAAGTAGAAACTTCCCAAATGTCCAATTTCCCAAGCGGCAACTTCCCAAGTCTGTCTAGTCGCAGCGCTTGGCCCCCTAGCATGTTCTAGCCGCAGCGCTAGGCCCCCTTGCCAATCCTAGCCGCAACGCTCGGCCCAATTGCAGCCTGCGGCGCCTCAAAAGGCCTAACCTACCTTTGGAAAGTTGCCGCTTGGGAAATTGAACATTTGGGAAGTTGCCACTTGGGAAATTGTCACTTGGAAAGTCGCCCTTGGGAAAATGCCTTTGGGAAAGTACCTTTATTTTAGTTGAAAACTGATTAGTTTAAATTGTGCTTACTCTATAATAAACCTGCGGATTTACGTTGCAAAAACAATCCAGGAAGTTTTCAGACAAATTGTTCCTCAGATAAAGGTTTAAAGAATACTGCTGTGACTCTGACATCCCACTCCAGACATGTAATTGCAGTGTCAATTGAAAAATATGTCACAGTACCTTTAAAGAAAAATTTGTAGTTTTACTATTTTTAGCCATATTTGTTATTAAAAAAAGATCATTATTTCAGCTCTGAGCATACAAATATCTTTAATTATAATTATTTTCAGTCGTCTGGTGTACAACAAGGAAAAGCTACATTAACAAAAATATATTTAGAAATACTTTTTAAAAGTTTTTTTTTTTTAATTCTGAGCATAAAGCTTAGATATCGAAAAATAAAATATTATGGGTTATCTATTTACTATCATGATATCTTAAAAGTTTATTTTATAAAAAAATCATTGTAAAAGTTTAAAGGAACTGGATTCTTGTCAGAAACTCAAATTTAATCCATATACTTTGTATTTGTAACCTGATGCATTTGCAACCTTTGATAACAGAAATCAAAGTTTTAAATTTCAAAGGATTGAGTGGTAGTGGTCGATATCAGAGCTGGGCAAGAGTCCGTTAACAAACAGCAAAAACCCGTTAATTTTAAATCGTCAACGGAAATAGCTGTTCTTGAGAAAAAAATCAACGGTTTAGAAAAACGAAACGGATGTGTTTTAAAATATCGGCGACTTTCGTTCTTTTTCGGCTTAAAATTGCATGAAATTTGTGAAAAATAAAATTTATATTTTTATTTAATGTGTTTAAACGTCGTCTACTGTTCTTTTACCTCGCTTATTTGTTGAAGTATAGAATTTTATGCATCTTCTTGTTTTTATATGTCTTCAAATTTTGTCAATCTATTTTAAAATGAAATTATCGTTAACGGCTGGCACCATTAACGATTTCTAAAATATCTGCTGTTAACGCCGTTAATGATATTGAGATTGTTAACGAACGTTATTTTTTTAATTGCGGAAAATACCAATAACGAAACGAACGTATGCCTACCTGAAAAAAATAATGGTTTTTACTAACCGTTCTCGAATCGAACGGCTTGAAAAAATTGACATTAAAAAATCAGAGTTTGTTGCAAGAACTCAGTTTCTCAAGTCAACGGCTGGTCGTTAATGTAACCAGTTCTAACAGGAGGATAGGAATAATCAAAGTCCAGTTTTGGATTATACAATAGAAATAAACAAACTACCAGACAGGTGAAACAGAAATAATCTTAATGCAGTGACAACTATTAAACAGTGAAAAGATTGTCGTATTCATTTACTTTTTCAATTGTTCTTAATTGTCCCCGAAAAGTATTTTGAAAAGAATTTTGAAAAGTATTGTGAAAAGTATTTTGAAAAGTATTGTGAAAAGTATTTTGAAAAGTGTTTTGAAAAGAATTTTAATTTATTTATTTTAATTTTTTTTCTCTCTGTGGAAAAGTTTTTTTCTTATAGGGTCTGTAAGCGTAACCCTTAAAAGCTTGACCCTTTAAAGCCTGACCCTCCTTGCAAAGATGGCAATTTCAGATTTCAGAAGATTTAAAAATTTTCATTTTATAGGTTTAAAAATGTTTTATTCTGATAATTTCCATATGTAATGCTGTAGTAGAAATGCGCTAGTCACTTTTGTAGATAATACACAATTAAAATGAATTAGTTTTCAAAATTATAAATAATTCATATTTGACCACACAGAGTTTTAAGGGTACCGTTGTAAATCGGCCATTTACATCTTTGCATGGAGGGTCACTTGAAATTACGCTTACAGTCCCTTTAAGTGTATCATAATTCTTACAAATGTAAATTATAAAATTTGCAAAAATCAGTTTAGTTTTCCATTTAATTTATTGAATTTTAATAAACAATGTTTTGTGATCATAAACCATAATATACAGTTGTTGCAATCTATTTCAGATTTTTGTCAAATTCAAACAAAGTGAATTTTATCGTTAGCTCCAAAGATTTTTTAGATAAGATACAAAGATCATTTATTATCAAACATTTTAACTTTTTAAAACTATTTAGACAGTTCCATGTGGTATTTTTATTCTAATTTATTCTGATTTATTTCTTGTTAATTAATTATTAAAATATTCAGTGAAAGAACTTTCGGTTATCAGGAGGGGAATTATTCAATTACAGGTAGTTGTATACCTTTATTCAAATATAGGTAGTTGTATACCTTTATTCAAATATAGGTAGTTGTATAGTGACCTTTATTCAATTACAGGTAGTTGTATAGTGACCTTTATTCAAATATTGATCCAAAAAAGAAATTGATTTTTTTAAATTTCAGGATTTCAACTGAGATTGAACCGACATTACACGAAATATCTGTAAGTATGTAAATGAGAAAACTTCTGTTTATGTATTTATGATGAAAAATTAAACAATTAAAAACTTCTAATAATCTTCTAATATATAAAAAGCATTTTTATCTTGGTGAGTGCGAATTGAGCTAAAAAAACATCTATCTCTACATGAAAAATAAACATTTTAAAAGTATTTTTTCCGTTTTTTTTCAAAAATACAATATTCTTGATGCGAAATGGAAAGATTTCGATTTTTATCGAGCGAGAATTGAACGAAAATTATATATTATATATATACTATGGTTGATCGATTTTTGAACCACGCTTGAGGGCCTAGTGATATACATGCGCCTAAATATTCTAAAAACTTAGCAAAAATAAAATGAATCAAAAAATTTTTTAAATGGCCATTTTTGCAAAAAAAAAGATAAAAAAGTCACTTGTAAGACTAAAAAAGATGGGTTTCAAAAGATGCGTCTTAATCCGCTGAATAAATACAGTCCACATTTTGGTTTCTTGATATGGCCAAATTTTCAATACAAAAACTAGTTTTTTGTCTTTATTTGGTTTAGTAATTTTCAAATCCATTTGAAATCAACTTGTCTCAATTTAGTTTTTCAAGATGGATCTTTTGATACCCTTATTATTATATTTTTTTTTCGGTCATACTGATGACTTTTTTATCTAATTTTTTGCGAAAGCTGCCCCTCTAGGTCGCTAGTGAAAAGTAGGTAAATCGTCCAACCCTAATATCTATATATAAATTTATACATAGATATATATATTATCTACCCTCTGGACTATTCGTTGTTGTCTCGTGGGTTAGCTTTCTCATCCCTCCAGAGGTATAATTTTATAATCAAATAATCAATCAATCATTAAATATTATTAATTTTCATATGATCATTTACTATTTACTTTTAACAACTCTTCTATTTATGCATTCACTTATATACAGGGTAAAAAAATATTTTTGGAACATTGAAAAAAACTCCGCGTAACCAATTTTTTTGGAAAAAATTTAATGGACAAATGCAAGAATTACGTCTTTCTGACAGATTGTTGACATGGCCTCTCAGCTAAGTGTGAGCAGTTTCTCAAAAATCCAATTTTGAATTGTACTTTTTTAGTAGAATTTTTATATTTTCTTATTAAATTTTTGATGAAATTTTGGAAAATTTTTTTTTAAAAATTCTGGTTTCGCGAATTTTGTCTTAAACATTGGAAATCACACTTTTTTACTCTCCCTGTATAATCACATGTTTGTATATATAAATTAAAATATAAAAATAAAAAATTAGGCCAAAACACGATATTTTTCTTTATCGCTTTTTTTAAAACATTAACATTATTGATATTTATCTAAATAAAAAGAAACATTTAGTTTTCCTGGTTCTCCCTGGTAAGGATCTAACGAATTTTCCTGCAACATCCTTTATTTTGTTTAAGTAGCCTGCAGTGACTTCAAAAGAACATGACCTTATCATTAAAACTTCTTTGTCTGGCCGCTAGATGACTCTGTTTCAGAAAAGAAAGCAATCATCCCGTTATTTTTTTATTAGGTTGTACCTGGGCGCATGGCCCTGCTGGTCACCTTGTTCCTTGTCCTCATCAACATATTCAACAACACCACCAACGTCTCCCCCAACACCGAGGGGATGACCGCCATCTCCTCCTGGATGCTGGGTAATTTCATAATAATATAATTTGCATGATTACCAAGTTTCCGATTATTTGAAAGCTTCTTTCTTAAAATTCCCTAGGGCAACCAGGGCTGAATTAGAGTATTCTCATTTTAATAATTTTTGATTATTTACGTATGAAAATATTTGACTTTTTTATAGCGTTGTATAGATTTTGAACAAGTAACCCCCATATCCCTGGGCTCTCCCTCCCCTCTGTCCCTTTTAAAGCAGGAAAGGTCAGACAAAGTAGTAATCATCTATTAGGATAGAAATAATAATAATAATAAAAGTTTTGCTTCTTTACAACTTCAGGATAAAAATAACTAAACAATGATATTTCCAGAGAAGAAAAGTTAAAACAAACATGAAAATACAGAAACGATGATAATTAGTTTAAAAATGAAATACAAAGAAAAACATATAATTTTTAAAGATGAGAATTTCTTAATATTAAGCCTTTAAATAATTTCAATTAAAGCTATTTTTGTCTAGCTAAAAGGGGGCAACCAGTCTATATAAAAGCCTAATTAATATTATTATGATTTTGTATCATTTTGTAAAAAGAATGAATAATGAATAAACATTATTGGAAATGATATTAGAGCTGAAAACTTTAGAATGGTGGATATCGAGATCAATGCATAATCCTATCTTTTTGCTAATCTCATGACTAATTTAGTCTCTAGATTTATTTCTAGAGATAAGAGATGCGCTCTTTAACTTTTGAAAACCTGTATTTAATTTTCCCGCATTTGTGGTGTCATATCAATTGAACTAATTAATGACTGTTTGAACACGTAAGTTTTAGATGAATGTTTATTAAGACTAACGCTCAAAAGGACTTTAGTTCTCAAATGTGATAACATATGTTTTTATTAAGTTCATATCAACATGATGAAATTTGAATTTTTTAAATGATCTAAAAGTCGGCTTAACAGCATACTTTTTGTTCAATCGTATATTACTTCTCTCAATATAGCATCGTATCTGTATTTGTAATCAAACGTATCTTTATTACATGCAGTGAAATGCATGATATCCAACAAGAACGGATTAAAAAGAAAATTAAAAGTTTTCACAGATTAAGTGATCGGGATTAAGGGTATCCAATTCTAAAGTTTTCAGCTCATTGCTAATAATAATACCTGTTTATTTTAGCCTGCATTTTCTTTGTATTTGGAGCATTAATGTCGTACGCATTCATTCTATATCTCTTACTCAGACAGAAGGCAGGCAAAATGAAGATGAAATGGTAAAAACATTATCAATTTAGCATTAGTAAGTGGTGAGAACCATGGAAACATTGTTTTGGGGATTTCTTATTGTTGGAACTAATTCTGAATAAAAAAATGCGTTGGGAATAAATTTAATGAATAGAGAGAAGTAGTTGAACCACGTTGACTTAGCTGAACCATTGCCCTTGAGCTTGAACCAGTGCGTAAGAGAAGAAGAACTTAAACTACGTAGTTCAACTTCCTCTTGCTTTTCATTTAATTTGGTTCCAGGAAGAGATGGGGGCATCGATTAAAAAAATAAACGATGGATAACTTGGATCGTTTAAAGAAATAAAAATAATTACATTTTTTTAAATGAACGAAAAAACGAACGATTCTTTCGTTCTTGATCTTTCATGTACGATTTCTAAACCGGTTGTTTAAACAAACTTTTAAAAACTATCGTTTTTTGACTGAACGAACGAATTTCTGCAAGATTTGACAAAAATGAATGGAAAATGAACGAAAATTTAGAGAACGAACGAAATCAATATTTTTGAATGATTTTAAAAAAATGAACGAAAAGGGTTGTTCTCGAACGAGGAACGAACGAAATGAAAAAAAATAAATACGTCCATTTCCATTCCCAGGGCACATCATTTAACACATTTTCATCCGTAAAAAAAAATAAAAACAGAAAAAATTCCAGTGTTTCTTGGTTCCTACAAAAAAAAACACCTACAGTTCAATTTTAACCAAAACATTAATATAGTTTTTACAAAAAACATAATAATTTAAATATAAAACATTATTTATTCAGTTTTGATAAAAAACATTACCAAAAACATAAAAAATTGTTTTAATGAAACGTAAAAAGTTTCACACATTTTAGAAATTTTTATATTAGTTTTAATAAAAAAAAACATTACCATGATGGCATATAACATTTCTTTTCGTTTTTATAAGACGGAAAACCTGTCACACATTTTTCACTTAAGCATTTTTGAATATTTAGTTTTGACTAGAGTTTGTAGCAAACGAAACGTTTCGCGAGTAAATGCGAAAATTTTTGGTCGTATTTCGCATTTTTTCGCGAAAATACATGAAGAAAAATTTCGCGAAAATACATGAAGCGAATTTTCGCGAAAAAGCAAAAATTTAGTGAAAATATTTCTGAGAAATGCGAAAATTTCGCGAAAATGGGAAAAAAAATTTCACGAAATGTGAAAATTTTGTAAAAATTTGTTTTATAGCTGCAACAATTATCTGCTAAGAAGAACTTGTGGAATTCTCTGCTCTGATAGCTCAATATTTAAAGTTTTATCATGTCATAAAAATAATTTCTCTTCCATCACTTTATTAAATGTTTGATGAAGAGAATTTGATTCCACAAGCTATCTTTTTAAGTTTCTGTCTGTCCGTACACGAAATTTTCGCATTATTTTTTCGCGAAATGTTCGCATTATTTATATCGCGAAATATTCGTATAATTTTTTCGCGAAACAGATTAAAGCGAAATTTTCGCGAAACGATTTTTCTTTTTCGCTGGAAACCCTAGTTTTGATCCTAATTGTCTGCGAAATCCAGATCATAAAATTTATCTTATAAACAGCAATTATAAGAATGGAGAGGCAAGAAACTTCTTGTAAATATTAAATTAAGAAACACTTTTAAAGAAGTCCTTAAAATAATGGCGTTATTGGATTAAAATATCAAATTGAATATGACCTTAATACCCGTTTGTAGTGCTTTCCTGAATTGGCAAATTTTTTTTTTTTCAAGCTGAGCCTTTGCCACAAACTCAGATTTTACTACCCATATCTTTACAATCTGCTGATTTGAACCCTTGATATTTCATACTTAGATTATTTGTTCTAACATAATTCATAGCTTCATTTTATAATCCCTATATCTTTAGAACCAAATGTCGTAAATTTTAGATATTTCAACTTTTATTATTTGATCTAACATAATTCATAGCTTCAAAAATCTAAGGTCTACAACATTGTGCTACAAAGATATAGGGATTAAAAAGTCAGAGTTTGTAGCAAAGACTCAATTCCTTTCTTTCTCTTTGCAACCTGATGGTGCAAAACTTTACAGTATATGACTTTTTAATCTAGCAAAATTTATAATTTGAAATATAAAGGGTCTGCAAAATCATGTTCTAAAATATTAAGAAATTTATTTTAAAAATTAGACAATTTTAAAATGATGAAAATAAAATAGGAAAATTTGTAAATAATCAAAAATCTATTTTTGCGTAGGGAGGGTTTGAATATAATTTACAATAAAAACTGTAGAATACATCATCCACCAGATGTTAAAAAGGTAAATTAATCTAATTTAAGGTAAATTAAAAAATATATTTGAATCTTAAATATTAAAACGAGTCTTTTTCTTTTTTTGTTGTTTTGTATATATTCATTCCGAACAATAAATTGGTTTGTGATGTACAATCATTGTCAAAAACATTTTTACCACGGTAAACTAGAGGTCCTGGTTTAATACCACGGTAAACTAGAGGTTCAGGTTAAATACCACGGTAAACTAGAGGTCCAGGTTAAATACCATGGTAAACTAGAGGTCCAGGTTAAATACCACGGTAAACTAGAGGTCCTAGTTTAATACCACGGTAAACTAGAGGTCCAGGTTAAATACCACGGTAAACTAGAGGTCCAGGTTAAATTTATTTTTAGACTATGTATTTTAAATATTTAAGCGTAAAATATCTTTTACTCTATTTTAGACAGATTTTGAATAAGAGATAAAACTATTTCGATACAGACACCATCCGCACTTTTAATTTCATAATTTCGTTTTCTAAAATAATATTTTATTTCAAGAAGTGTTCAAACCCAACTCTAAATCATATGATTTGAAAATATGACAAACAAATTTCTAAATCATTTTCTTGGATTAATACACAATACTAAAATATAACCATTTATAAGGTTATTGCTTTTATCTTTAAATTCTTTTTTATTTTTACCCCATTACTCACTTATTCTTTTTTCTATAATAATTTTCGATTTTTAATTAAACAAAACGTGATGTAACAAATAAAAAAGTTAATCAGGTATTACGACGTCCATATATTTGTTTTCTAAAATTGTTTCAAACGAAAAGTTCCGATAGAATACCAAAGTGTTGATTAAATACATAAGTTTCATGTCATTTTCACCGTAAAGGATTTTGCATATATTCCTCCCCTCCTTGTTTCTTGGACTTGAAGGAAATGCAAGTTTAGTTTTAATTAACCCTCCATGTGTAGAGTCTACACAATTTACAAAAGTACACTTTTGACTGGTAGAGGTTAAAGATGGCGGACTTATTCCACAGAAATTCTTATAATTCTTTTACAAGATATATTTAAGAAATAATAATATTTACATGTACTAGTCGCAGAAAATAAATGTTTTCATTCAAAATTTTACGCAATGTTCACAATGTACGCTCAACTTTAAGATTTGATTTGTTTAGAGACTAGAAGAGCTAGAAGAAATAGAGGGCTGGAGAAAGGAAAATTTGCAATTTTAAAGGATTTTTTTCCTAAAAATATATCTCTTCCTAAAAACAAATTTTTGATTAAAAAATAAACAAAATTATAAACATTAGTTTTCTGTATTTAAATTAAAAGATAAAAAAGGAATTGAGTTTCTGATGGTGTAAACCTTTGATATTTGAAGCTTAGACTATTTGATCTAACAGGATTAAAAGTTTGAAAACGGGTTGCTAAGTTACAGGATTTTGAAAATCTGAGTTTGTGGCAAAAACTCAATTCCATTGTCTATAAATAATATGGATGTACGGACGGTACACTTATTAATGCACTATAGTCCTATTCTAAATATACCCTAATAATTTTAATTGATTGATGACTAAACTTTTTTCATAGAATTAGTTTGCGGTATTAAATATAGTTTTGTAATAATGGCAGACCCTTTTGGAAATGGCATGCAAAAGAATAGGAATGTATACGTACAGCTAAGGAACTGAGTTTTTGCAACAAACTCAAATTGTTAACTTTCTGGATCTGTACAACCTGATGGTTAAAACCTTTGATATTTCAAACTTAGATTATTTGATCTAACATAATTCAAAGTTTGAAATATTAATATTGGGTTGTGAAGATATTGGAATTAGAAAATCAGAGTTTGTGTCAAAAACTCAATTCCTTGGTAGCATCATATTACGATGATTACTTTACAGCATCACTGCTATATTGAAGTTCAGCTTAAACTAAACAGAAATTATGAAGTGCAGATTGCAGAATATATAGTTTCATAAAAGATTTTAACATTTTTACAAAATTGCTAATTTTCAAGATGGCCGCCATTGACTCCATATTCCTGTATCTGTTTCCACTTCTATTCTTTGTATTCAACGTATTCTACTGGCCGTTCTGGACTCTTATGCCTGGAGATGACGAATGATTGACTTCAGACCAACATTGTTATTATTTGTTTCGATTGTTATTTCAAATCACTATTTCAGAATAAAGATTTATCCATGCTTTGAATATTGATAAATATCAAAAAGCGTCTTGAAAAATTAAACTCAAAAGTTTTTAGTTTTAAAATAGTATGAAGACACAAATTATCTTCTCTAGAAAAAAACCAACTAACTTAAAAAAACACGAGCTATGTACATATATGACAATAAATTACGTTTTCAGTCTGCACTTTAATTAATTTTGTTCTCTCTCTCAAATAGTTATTTGTAAATATTATAAATATTAAATATATATTTTCAAGGACTCATTTTATTGAAGTCTTTCCTCCCACCAAACTGTGAAAATGTGGTAGAAAAAAACACAATTCATGATTTCAGGCACAGAGAATAGAATATAAATTAGAGGGGAATTTAAAGAATATCTCGGTATGAATTTTTTCAGTCCTTTCAGCCTGAAAGGGAGTTCAAAGTGTAAAAATCATGTAAATGTTCACAAATTATATGCAGTAGAGTACATTAATACAGTATGTTCCCTAGACTATCCATTTCAATTTCAAATTTTTTTGGACATCTGATCTTAGCTCATGAAAACCTGAACCGATTTGCCTTAAATAAACAGAATATATTCTGTACAAAGTACACCGCATAAACAGAATATATTCTGTACAAAGTACACCGCATAAACAGAATATGCCCAATGAGAATAATTATCTATAGAGTGTACACCACACATAGAATATATCCTGTACAAAGTACACCGCATAAACAGAATATGCCAAATGACGGAATAATTCTCTATAGAGTGTACACCACACATAGAATATATCCTGGACATTGTTATCACATTAACTATATCCTGTACAAAGTACACCGCATAAACAGAATATACCCAATGACAGAACAATTCTCATAGAGTGTACACCACACATAAAATATATCCTGTACAAAGTACACCGCATAAACAGAATATACGCAATGATAATAATTCTCTATAGAGTGTACACCACACATAGAATATATCCTGTACAAAGTACACCGCATAAACAGAATATGCCCAATGAGAATAATTCTCTATAGAGTGTACACCACACATAGAATATATCCTGTACAAAGTACACCGCATAAACAGAATATGCCAAATGACAGAATAATTATCTATAGAGTGTACACCACACATAGAATATATCCTGTACATTGTTATCACATAGACAGAATATGTATTGCGCAATGAACATCACAGAATATTTCCGGCACAATGTACAGAAAAGTTCTGGATTATTAAATTAAAAAGTTAAAAAATAGATCATAGAATAAATAATTTTATTTTAATTTTTTAATACCAACACATCTTAATAAAAATAAAAATACATTTTCAACATAACAAAAATCATATTTGGAATCATAGAAAATTCAAATCACAAAAAGGAATGCGAACATGAAGAAGACAAAATGAGTTAACATTAGGAATAAGTGCCAGCGTAAGAAGTGTGTGTGTGTGGGGGGGGGAGTTCAATTTTGTGTCGGTATTTGGGATACAATATATCATGAAAAAAGTTTTATCACTCAAATCATAATCATAATCAAAAAACTTTAACAGAAGAATGCAAATATAGTTGAATAATATTACTTTTAATAACGACGGTTCGAGGATATGGTATATCATTAATACATAAACACATGGATAAATAGGACTGTGCAAACCCACTTTACAATCAAATTTTCTATAACCCATTAATTTAAATGAGGGTTTTCATTTTTTCCGGATTATTTTGATTTCATAATTTGACCTTAGAACCCTTAAACAAGCTGATAGGAATAATATATCACTGAAACTTTTAAAACTTTTCTTAAAGGGGGTGACCGGCAATGTATGATAGTTTTACTAAGAATGTAGTATTGTGGAGAAATTTTTAGGATTCATTTGAGACATAAAATGTTTTAATGATGTATATTTTCTGAGCTTGAGCTCAAAGTCGACGTTCAAAATCATACATTTGGGTGGTTACGTTCTAAGAATCAGTTATTTTTAAATTATTAAATAACGACGACGAAATATGTAAAAAAAAATTCTACAGCATACTAATGGTATGTTCAGGAACATATTTCTCAACATGAAATCAACAAAAAACGTTTGTGAACATTAATCCATTACAGAAACAAATAACTAAGTAGGAATACTTATTTTCGATGATAAGAGCAAATTTTTTTTCTCAACCTGTTTCTATTTATGCCATTAGTATATTGTAGATTTTTAAAAAGATTTTTTGTCGTCGTTGTTTAATAATTGAAAAAAATCAATTCTTGAAACGTCGACTTTGTGTTCAAACTCAGTTTTTAGACATAATTAAAACGTTTAATATGTCTTAAATGATTTTTAAAAATTTCTCCACCATACTACATTCTCAGGTCAAACCTTACATTGCCGGTCACTCCCTTTAATTAATTTTCAAATAAATGACAAGTTTACGGGACTGAAATTGTTCCGGAATATTCATCCAGTAAACCCTTTTCAGGGTGTCACACCAAGATCTGTGTATCATCTAGGAGGTAGATGTATCTTAGATTTTGTTAAGAAAGGTTCTGTCATTCATAATGGTTTATATACTTAACAGCTTAAGAAAAAGCTTTCGAAATTAATTCGGAAAACAATGGGAAGTCTAATTTAAATGGTATGACAGGTTGCAACTCTGCACATACGAACTGGTATGAAAAAAAGAATAAAAATATAAGAACAAATATTTTCAGAACAGCTCTTAAATCTAATATTATGGCATTAAGCACAGCTTTAAGCAAATATCATGTTTGTGAACGTGAATAAAATTAGGATAAATTGTGTGTAAATAATAAAAAGAAACTAAAAATATCAACGTTTCCACATATTTAAACTCTTTGGAAAGAGGATGAATTACTGATATAGAACTAACTGACATGACAATTTATTTTGTGATTTTCAATATTTAACAATTTTCAGCAAAAAAATACGGAACAATCAAGATTAAATAAACAATATTAATTATAGATCTTAATCTTTTTTCCTGGTCCCATTTTCACTTTCAAGTCGAATTTGAAGATCATAATTGTTCGATCAGTTTAAAATATCTTCAGGTTTTAATTTAAGCTATCATTAGCTATCAATCATTAAAGCTATTTTGAGATTGATTTTAGGCTATTTTAGCTTGTTAATAAGCTCTTGTAGCTTGTTAAGCTATTGTAGCTTGTTATTAAGCTATTTTCGCATGTTGTTAAGCAATTGAAGCTTGTTAAGCTATTGTAGCTTGTTAAGCGATTGTAGCTTATTGAGCTATTGTAACTTGTTATTATGCTATTAAAGCATGTTGTTCAGCTATTGAAACTTGTTAAGCTATTGTAGCTTATTAAGCTATTGTAGCTTATTAAGCTATTGTAACTTGTTATTATGCTATTAAATCATGTTGTTCAGGTATTGAAGCCTGTTAAGCTATTGTAGCTTGTTATTAAGCTTTTATAGCTTGTTGTTAAGCTATTGAGCTTAAATTAAAGCTTATGTAGCTTAAATTAAGCTATTGTAGCTTGTTGTTCAGCTATTGTAGCTTGTTCTTAAGCTTTTGTAGCTTGTTATTAAGCTTTTGTAGCTTGTTTTTAAACTATTGTAGCTTGTTGTTAGGCTATTGTAGCTTGTTGTTAAACTATTGTAGCTTTTGTTAAGCTATCAATTTATTGAGGGATCCGTTGCTTTGTTCTCTGCTAACTCCTAAAATGAAAGGGTCAGTATTTTTGTCTTAATAAAACTCCAATTTTTATTTATTGAAAAAATTAACAAATAGAAAAAACAAATTTATATTTTCTAACAAGAAGTGAAGAGAACAGAGCATGAAAACAGAATTTTACGAAAAAAAGTAGAGAAACAAGGAGAAAAAGTAGAGAAACAAGGGTGAACATAGAATAT